TTATGTAAAGGTGCAAATTTCCAATGATGAATGTCATTATATTGTATACCTAAAATGTACCAATAAAATTAAATTTAAATAAAAAGAAGAAAAATGTCCAACAGAGGCTCCTGCCAGTATCTTGAAAACAAAAATCCCACTTCCCCCCAGTATTCTAATCTTCAAGTTCTGATACGTTTGACCATATGTGTTTGACCTTCAGGAAAGTTTTGGAACTCCGGTTACTCCCAAGGAAGTGAAGCAGTTTGGGCAGAATGGACATAGAGAAATATCCCTCCTCTAGTACTAAAAGTCACAAAGTCAAATGTCAGAAACCAGAACCCAAGAGTGAGGGGCTATCCAAAAGGAATAATAATTTAAGGGAGGGAGGGGAGTCAATGAAATAGAATCCTAGGATCCTGGCTTCTCAAATCCTGTCCAGAAAGGCAGCCACCAGCCACTCATGGCTCCGGGGCATCTGAAATGTGGTGAATGCAAGTGAGAACAGAAATTTGTTTGTGAAACAGGGTCTTACTATGTTGCCCATGGAACTTCTGGGCTCGAGCCATCCTCCTGCCTCAACCTCCAGAGTAGCTGGAACTACAGGCATGTACCATCTCTACCCAGCTCATTTTATTTAAATTAATTTAATTAATTCAAATTTAAATGGCCACAAGTGACTAGTGGCTACCTATCTAGATACTATCATAAATCATGTCTCTTACATTCTTTTACTTTTTTGCAGTACTGGAATATTGAATCTAGGGCCTTCATACTGAGCTACCTTACCAACCCCTTTTATATTTTATTTTGAGACAGGGTCTTGCTAAATTGCTAAACTGCCCAAGGTTGGCTCAAATTTATAATCCTCCTGCCTTAGCCTGCCCAAGCACTAGGATTACAGGCATGTTACACTATGCCTGGCTTTACAACCTTTTAAAGATTAAACGACAGTTTTCTATCTGGCTGGCTCCTCAGTCGGCACAACCTGGGGTCGACTTTTCACCCTTGGTCTACCTGTCTGACCTTGTGGCCTTGAACTCAGATGTTCCATAGATGCTTCCAGCAAAGCTCTGGGCCAGTTCTTCGCAATCCAGAAAATAGGCCAGACAGATCTCTCATCTCTCCTCATTTACCCATGACAAAAGTTGGGTACAAACTTTTCAAAGAAGAAAATAGATTTATTAAACACTGTCCTGAAGCAAAAGGAAGAAATTAAATCCAGTGATTTATCAAATGCCTCTTCCAAACTTAAAATTTTAGATAGATAAAATGACATTTCCAAAATCATAGAATAATCCTAGTAACCTAAGTCTCATAAAAATCTGCCCAATGGGTACCAGGCATCTCATCCAATGGATACCAGGCGTTATTCAGCACCACATACCACACAGGCAGTCCTATGAATCATCAGTCCAAAAGTGTAACTTCTGCTGTTCTGCTGTTATTAATAAAGACGTTTCAATACCCAAAGTATTATTTTCATGATATGTCATTCATAGAAAGCTCAGGTCATACATATCTTATATAACATACTGGTGTAACTCCTGCCTTCCATCATATGTTCTTTTTTTTTTTTTTTTTTTGGTACCAGGGATCGAACTTGGAACCTTGTGCTTGCGAGACAGGCACCAGAACCACTGAGCTAAATACCCGGGCCAATAATTTATTTTCTTTTTCTTTTTCTGGTACTGGGGATCGAACTTGGTTCCTTGCGCTTGCAAGGCAGGCAGCGGAACCACTGAGCTAAATCCCTGACCCTCCATCATATGTTCTTAAACCTATTACAGCTCTGCTATTTCAAATGCACACCTATTTCTTGTTATTTGCCAGGCTTTATCCCTTACAATAAATATAATAGTTTAACTATAACAATTAACTGGTATAGAAAGACACAAGTAAAATATAGCAAAAACAAAAAGCTTTACAGAAAGATAAGAAACTGGACTCAATATGGATCTGACAGAAGCAAGGGCAGCTCAGCCAACAACTCACTGGTTTAACATGACGTCCAGGATGAACGATGTTCCGAAGGCGTTGACCTGGAAGCTGGCCTGGGCCACATGGGTCGACTGCAAGATCAGAAAGATAAAAGGCACTTAGTGTGCAGCTGTAGAAATCAGATGATTGGTATTTTTATGATTATTCCAAAAGATTTACAGTAGCCCAGCTGAAAAAACCACCCCAACATGGAAAAGAAATCAAAGCACATTAAAGGCAGAATTTGCACCTTCTCAGAAGCCACATATTTTCCAGGCTGTAGTAAGTTGTCATCCAACAAAGGACTGTTGATGAGGGCCTACTCTTCTGCTGTCTCAAGAGATAAAACATTTCATTTGCAAAAAGACTTCACTGATGGGACAGGGATTTAGGTCAGTGGTTTCTCTGCCTGCTGCGCAAGTGCAAGGACCCGAGTTCAATCCCCGGTACAAAAAAAAAAAAAACTTCACTGAATTAGCCTTATTCTTACTAAATGACTACCCCCGTTAAATTAAGCTTTGAAAAAAAAATTAAGCTTTGTACATTCAGAAAGGAAAATATGCTCCATTCAAAAGTGAAGTAACAGTGAATATGATCTTTTTGTAAGAAAGACTTTCAAACCTCTAAAATCTCTTTCACCTTATCTCAAATACAGACTTTAAAAATAATATTTCATCTCTTTTTTTCTTTCTTTTTTGTTTTGTACCAGGGATCAAACTCAGGACCTTGTGCTTGGGAGGCAGGAGGCAGCACAATGATATTTTATTTCTAATTTACCAAGCCTAATTGCAGAGAGGTTTCCATATCTTCCTAGAAATCTCAAACCTCTGCACATCTATTGCAAATATCATCAATCAAAATTTTCTTGGATAAAAATAATCACTGTTTCCTATGACATCCCACGAACTCCCACAGAGAATCATGGTAACTCTAAAAAATATAGTGTTACCAATACTAGTAATGTGGCATATTGAATGATCGTGTAAATTAACTGAAAAAAAAGAGAAGAAGTTAAACTCTTCTATTTTACTTCCCAAATACTTTATCTAAACAGGACTATGAATTACTGGAATTTTTTGTGTATGTATTTCTACAATATTCAGTTTCCTAAAGTAAACATACATAATTTCTATGATGAGAAGAAAAAAAACATTATTGTAGTGATAAAAACTATCTGAGCAACCACATGTAGTACTTGAGGCTGACGATGCTGCCTTCTGAGAACCAGCGACTCACAGAAAGGACATCCTAGGGTCCTATGGGATGTAAAAGGCACTTCAACCACCCCTGGGATTTTACATGCAGGGAACTACATATGGGGTTAGGTAAAAGGAGAAAGCTTGATGAAGCTTTCTGGAAAGAAAGGATGATTCTTCTGATTAAAAATCTTTGAAAGAGGTTGGGGTAGGAGAATGTTATGCCTCACTTGCTAATGTAACCCAATCCTCATAAAACTCCAATCTAGGTACCTCTCTGCTTCATTAGTCATCCAACATTAACTCTACTCTTCTTAACTAATGCCAGGGCTATCACCAAACTTTGGTTTCTTTTTCTTTTTATAATAATTCCTGGGAGTCACACTTACTCTTCATTCCCACCTCTGTCACAGACAGATTCAATCATATCCTCCCCACCCCTGATTTTTTTTTTTTTGGTTGTCCTGGGGATTGAGCCCAAGACTTCATGCATGACAGGCAAGCACTCTACCACTATACTGCCAAGAGAGGGAAGCAGGGAGGAAGAGGAGTGCTATAATGCCACCCATTTGACTTCTTAGTAAAACCCCAATGCAAGCCCTAGATGTTTGACTCTATCAAATACAAAACTCTTCTCCCTGGATTTCCAGATCCTCCACAATGCCCTCCTCTACTCACCCCTGCCATTGCACATAAGCTCCCAAGTACACCCTTATCCACACTCATTTATCTACTCTTTAATTCAAAACTATGTGTATTCTGGGCCTGGGATTTAGCTCAATGGCACAGCGTCTGCCTGGCAAGGTCCTGAGTTTGATCCCCTGTACAAAAAAAAAACAAAAAAAAAAACCTATGGGTATTCCAACTCTTTCTGTAGCTTTGAGTCATCCTTCCGCTAAGTACTTTTCTCCAACAGACTCTTCAGCAAAGCTGTTTCCCAGGAATGGCTCCACTCATCCTTTTAAGACTTAGATCAAGTTCCTCCTTCTGGCATCTGCTATGGCTGACATCACAACATACCACAGACTGGTGGGGCTGAACCAACAGAAATGTGTTTCTGTACAATTCTGGACGCAGGAAGTGTTGGCAGACGTGGTTTCTCCAGGGCTTTCTCCATGGCCTGCAGATGCGGTCGCATCCCCTTGTGTTGACACAGCTGCTCTCACTTCTTCTTACTAGGACATCACAGCTTTGGTCAGGCACCCCACACTCAGAGCTCACTGAACCTTGGTCATGTCTGTATAAAGTCCTTCCCTACAAACTAAATCATGTTCAGGGCTACAGCTTCAACCCATGAATTGCAAGGGGACACACTCAGTCCACGACACTCCTGTCCCATGACATCTTCCACATTCATCCAGCTTCTTCTCTTCCTCCTCAGGACAGACCAAGATCACAGCAGGGCTTCCTTACTGCCCAGCATCAGGTACTGAACTAGCGGGTCCTGACTCATGTGAGGGTTGTTTTATTAATCACCTAGACACAGGAATGATGGAGAGATCACCTATAAAGCACTTGCTAATGAAATTCAATCTTCCCTTCAGGGTTGCCCTTAATGCCCTGCAATGGATAATGTTGCTCTGCCTAAAAGCTCTCAGGGTTTCCTGAAGTGCTAAGACTTGTATTTTGAGAACAGCCTGAAGAAAGCTCCACTTACCAGAACTGATGTCTCCATTAAAATAAACCTCCCGCCTCCAATCTCTAGGCACTTGAGTGGCTATTATATCTTATTTCAGTCTCCTTAGAATTAGCAATACTAGTGTTGTAAATCTGTGGTGAACAGAGGAGAGACTACACAGTTCTTCACCTCAGCAACCCTATTACAATTTGGATCAAGGCAATATTACCATGGAGGGGTGGTACTCACTATTTGCAATGATTCTAATCTTTTTTTTTTTTTGGTAGTACTGGGGATTGAACCAAGGGTCATGCACATGCTAGGCAAGTGCTCTGCTACTGATATATATATCCCTTGTCCCTTTTTATTTTTACTTTGAGACAAGGTCTCACTAAGTTGCCCAGGCTGGCTTAGAACTTGTAATCTTCCTGCCTTCGCCTCCCAAGAAGCAGGGATTACAGGGGTGGGCTACTATGCCTGGCTTACTTTCTTTTTAATTAACTCATGATTATACATATTTATGGGGTATAGCATGGTATTTTAAAACATTTATAAGATAGGCAATAATCAAACCAGGGCACCTAGCATTTCCATTTTCTTATCATTTCTTTTTTTTTATTGGAACATGTTTGTACTACATAATGATTACATTCTTCATGTGGCATTGGTACACGTACATGACACTTCTTTTTATAGGCCCTTCTCCTGTCCTCCTCCCCTTCCCTAAATCTCTTGGACCTCTTCATATAAATATATTTTAACACATGTTTGTAGTACATGATGATCACATTGCTTATAGGGACTTGGTGCATGTACACAGCACTTAACAATCCCCTACCTTTTTAAAATCTCATTTCCCTCCCCTTCCTCACTCCTCCCTCCATCTCTCAATTCCCTTCCCATATGCCAAAGATCTTATCATTTCCTACATCTGGAGATTTCAGGTTCCTTTTTTCTAGCTCTTCATAAAATATGTCACCCTACTATGCATTGTGCACACTAAACATTATTCCTGTTATCTAACTGTATTTTGGTAGCCACTTTCCAACCACTCTTGCTTCCCTTCCTCCTCCTCTCCCCAACCTCTACTAATTACTATTCTACTTTCTTCTACATTAAGATCAATTTTTTTAGCTTCCACATATGTTGTGGTCAGGGTTTCCAAGGGAAATAGAATTAGTACAGGACATATAATTTATAGGATTATTTTATAACAGTCACCCAAACAGTCAAATGCAGAGAAGTGTAAGAGATTAGCCACACCCTAGAGACCCAAAGCATCTAGCCAAGGGTCTGGCTCCCACAGCAATGCCTGCAACAAGTCCAGCTGAAGGCCTAGAGCCCAAGGCAATTTTTCATGCTTATCCATTTGGAGTATCTGCACCAGGAAAACCCAAAGGCCAATGACAGAAGCCAGAAAACCTGTGCCAGTGGGATGAAGGATTTGTGCCACCAGACTGAGGGATCTACACTGGAGCCAAGAAGTGATGCTCACAGTGAAGATCAGAGCTTCTCTGATAAGAACACCAACCATTTCCAACAACAGCTAAGTTCACATCAGGAAAATCAGCCGCATCAACCTTCTCCTAGAAAATGAACAGCCCACAATCTTTCACTCCAGTTCTCTTTATGTTATTGGGAATAATCCTCAAGTGGGTCTTCCATGCCCAACCATGCTGATTCAGATCACCTAGGCATTACAAGTTGACCATTAGTTACTCCAACACAACACAGGAGAGCATAAGCAATATTTGTCTTTCTGTCTGGATTATTTCACTTAAAATAATATCCTTCAATTCTATCCATTCTGCGGCAAATAAACTATTTAATTTTTTATATTTTCTTTATTTCTGCAACTCCATTCAATTTGGAACTTATTTTACGAGCCTCATCCGTGCACCAATGTGAGACTCATATACTTAATTCAAAAGAAAATTAATAGGCAGCTTTCTTCATTGCTGTTTAGTAAAAAATGGTTGCATTACTGATAGTAATATGAACAGGAATATGTTAATATAGTTTTAATGTGCCCAACTGCAGAGGAGCAGAGCTGTCCCCAGCACAGAGGAGGTGAACCTTCCGGGCTACCCTACCATGAAACAAAGCAGCTAGGAGGTGAGCAGCATGGAATCCAGCAGCACACATCCTCCCCCCACCACGTTGAAATGAGAAGACACATAAACAAGTCTCAAAACCAGATTTCCAGATCACCTAAAGCAACCCCAAAGGAAAACTAGATGGAGCAATCTGCTACTCAAACATCTGGACTCCCTGAACT